TCCCTAATGCGGATAGCAATGCATGATTTATGATTTTTTTAATGAAAGACATAAATCAACACTAAAAGAGTATTTATCTGCTCAGAATTGAGCGTTTGAGCAGCCGTTCACTGAATGGAGTCTGACCTCTCTCTGTGAGCTGTCCATCAGCACGCCAAAGGTGCCGAGTCTGTGGCACTGGCAGCGGACATGTGAGGTGTTCCTGTAAACCACTACGCAGTCCCTCACCGTCCAGCAGCCTCCTATCTCGTGCCTGCAGTAAAAGAAAGGGTTTGCAATGAAATATGGCATTTTAAATGAAGACGCATGAAAGACAGGTGAAAAAAAAAATAAAACTGGCTCCATTCGAGGAGCGTGTTTGCAATCAACAGTGAAAAAGACTTTGGGGTTTAAAATTGTACAGCTCACTTTTATGAAAACGATCAGGGTTTTCTTTATTGTTTAGAAGTCTATCTTTGCTAACAGGATCCACTCAGCTATGATATCACTTTAAATGTTTTAAAATGATAATCTGTAAGTAAAGGAGAGGCACACCAAGTGTTCTTCATCCTTAGTTACACAATTGTGCATGACTGTTTTAAATTACATTCTGCTCTCTTTATTTCATTTTTATCAACAGTCCCTGTTGTAACATACAGTATGTTTAGTAATAAACAGTCCACGTGTGATGATTTGTACTTACGGGCTGCTGTGATTCCACTGCACACACAACGGTTTGCTGCGATTGGCTGTTTCCAGCAATTTGAACTCCAGCGTGATGGGCGGGTCCAAGTGACCGCCCACAAACGTCTGGTTGTTGTAGACGGAGACAGTGACCACTGGAGAGTTCATTACTGGGTGTCTGGGAAGCCTGGAAGATGAAATAAAAAAAAGATAAACACAAATTCAATCAATTAGACAGGGAAGACAGTTTCATATGTTGTGATTTTAGAAAGAAAAGCACAGCAGTTGAGGGAGAACTGAGAAGGGATGAAAGACAGTGCTAGAAAAAACATAGTATTTTTAATCGTTAGTCAAATGGAATAGAAATAGGCGAAACAATCATCTGATTTCTAATCTAATCTTAAAAAAAAAACAAACACCCTGCAATCAACCACACCTTTGCATGATTAATGAATTATCAAGCAAATATACAGTATACTTTAAAGGAGACATTTTAAATCCTTCTTTTTCACATTTAAATCACTCACTTGGAGTCTATATAAAGTGGAACTGCAATGCTTTGGTCTGAATTCCTCCTTATTGTAACTTCACAAGCCCCCCTTTTCTACAAAG